AAACATGGATAAAGAAGTTCTGGTACTTACATACAATGGAATATCACTCAGCAATGAAATCTATGACATCAGGCCCGTAGCAGCATAATGAGTGGATTCAGGTACGATGATTCTAACTGAAATAAGTCACACAGAAAAAGAAACATCCTAAGATATCACTAATACACGGAATGTAAACTTGGCTACACAGGAACTGAATTACAAAACAGAACAGGGTCTCAAATTGAGAAAACCAACTTATGCTTGCTTAAGGGGAAAGGTGAGTTGGGGTGCTGCATAAAACCAGAGATTGAAATTAGCACAGATACCGTTCCATAAGCCAAATATGTAATAGACAAGACCTACTCCTTGCTCAACGAAGTGGACTCAACACCCCATATTCAACGCCTAGGAATATACCTGACTTGTAAGAATCTTAAAACCTATGGATTTATATGTCTCCGTAAGAGAATCAAGCATGTTTACAGCAGCATAAACGCAGCAGTGACAATCAGCTAAATCCCATTATCAAAATAAATTTCAAAAACAAAACACAATGACAGTGAAATAGACAGAAATTCTTAAATAATTCATTCAGGGCTTGTGATGCAACCTGGATTTACCACATCGACACACAGAGCTGGGTGAAACATAAGGCTGGACACTTGGGGCTGATAGGATTGGTGAGGTTCGTTGAGCAAATGCAGACCCTTTGAAGTAATATTGCACGGTACACATTCCATGGGTCCCAACTCTCCAGGTTTAAGGGATTCTTCCTTCAGCTAAAACATGCATGTGGAACCCAGAGTATGATCCACCGTGTGATCGGGAAACGTTTCTAAATTCATCTCAGTTTTCGTCCCCCGGTACTCGGGTTCGCCATTCCAGACGCTTTACTAACACTCTCCCCACTTGGAGACTCAGTGCCGTTAACCTCCTGTTTGGCACAGTTTGCAATTTCTGCGGAAGATGAACAGGAATAGGGAAAACCAATGAGAAACTAGCTGTAGGTGTCTGGACGGGCACATTTAACTCTAATTTCCCACCAGGAAGAGGAATTAACCAAAGGTTCAGCGTGCCTGGCCGCAACCAGATTAGGGCCTGAAGCAATCCTGCGGTTTTGCGGCCAGCTCACAAGAAAGCGAGTTGAAGAAAGGAGCTCAGGGGCACTGTAATTCACAAACCTGCAGAGTTATAAATGACAGCTATTCTCCAAAAATATATTGAAGTAAGGCTGCGAAGAGAACTTGAAAGCGCGGCAGAACTGCAGGAATCAGATTTCAGGAGGTATACTGGAAATGCATTTAAAGCATATGAAAAGCAGCAGATCTTTGACAGTGATGCACTTGGTCAAAAAGGGCATATGCGTTTTTTACTAAATATATTCAGGAAAAATCGCATATGCACTTTTTGGCCAACCAAGCAAGCGTGCAATGGAAATCCGCACTACAATGAAGTCTCACTTCCCACCTGTCAAAAGGGCCATCTGAAAAAAGTGTAAAAACCAGAAAGACAGGACAGGCCATGGAGAACTGGGAGCCTTGTTATGCTGATGGGCGGGATGTAAATTGCCAACAGCCACTCTGGAGAAGTGTATGGTGTTTCTTGAAACATCTAAAAAACAAAGCTACAGAGCCTAGGGCACTTCCACTTATGGCCCTATAGCTTAGGGAAATGAAAATCAAAAAGACACAGCCACCCCAAAGTTTGGGACGCCTCTGTTTACAAGAACCTCGTTTACGGTACGAGTTAAATATCCCAGAAAGAAAAAAATGGATAAAGAAGTTGTGCTACTTACGTACAATGGAATATCACTCAGCAATGAAATCAATGTCATCAGGCCTGTAGCAGCAAATTGAGTGGATTTAAGTACGATGATTCTAAGAGAAATATGTCACACAGAGAAAGATAATTATCATTACATATCACTAATAGAGGGAGTGTAAACTTGGCTACACATGAACTGAATCACAAAACCGAACAGAGTCTCACATTTAGATAAAAATCTTTTGCTTGCTTAAGGGGAAAGTTGAGTTGGGGTGCTGTATTAAACCAGAGATTGAAATTAGCACAGATACCGTTCCATAAGCCAAATATGCAATAGTCAAGTCCTACTCCTTGCTCAACGAAATAGACTCAACCATGAGGTATCGCCTCACACCTGTTAGAATGGGCATCATCAGAAAATCTACAAACAGCAAATGCTGGGAAGGGTGTGGAGAAAAGGAACCCTCTTCCACTATTGTTGGGAATGTAAATTGATACAGTCACTGTGGAGAACAATATGGAGTTTCTTAAAAAACTAACAACAGAATTACCATATGATACAGCAATCCCACTACTGGGCATATACCCAGACAAAACCATAAATCAAAAAGAGACATTCACCGCAATGTTCATTGCATCACTATTTACAATATCCAGGTAATGGAAGCAACCTAAATGCCCACAGACAGACGAATGCATAAAGAAGTGGTACATATATAAAATGGAATATTACTAAGCCATAAAAAGGAATGAAATTGGGTCATTTGTAGAGACGTCGATGGATCTAGAGACTGTCATACAGAGTGAAGTAAGTCAGAAAGAGAAAAACAAATCTTTTATATTCATGCATATATGTGGAACCTAGAAAAATTGTACAGATGAACCGTTTTGCAAGGCAGAAATAGAGCAACAGATGTAGACAACAAACGTACGGACACCAAGGGTGGAAAGCTGTTGGAGGGGTGGTGGTGGGAGGAGTTGAGAGATTGGGATTGGCATGTATACATTTATATGTATAAAACAGATAACCAATAAGAACCTACTGTATAAAAAAATAAAATTAAATTCAAAATTAAAAAAATAAAATTAAAAAAGTAAAACAGAAAAAAAATTATTCCCTTCACATACATGTATTAATATGAATAAATTATTTCCATGCTTATATCTGTAAATACAAAAAAGAGGAATAAAATCTACCTTGAACCAAAAACGAAAAAAAAAACCCCACCAGTTACACAGAGGAAAACCGTATCAGGGCACTTGCTCCAGTTGTAAACAATTCTGACGTTGGTCAGTGGTGGGGAATCGTCTCCCATTCAGCCAGCAGCCCCCACAAAACAAGCGTCCTCATTGCAAAGCTGGGGGACCGTGCTGATCCTAAACCGTTGTCGTACCTGAACCTGTACCCTAAACCGTCCCCGTCCCCTAACCCTAACCCTAACGCGAAGCCTTACACTAACCCGTCCCCTAATCCTAACCCGTACGCTAACACTAACCCGTACCCTAACACATACGCTCACCCTAAACCGTTGTCGTACCGTAACCTGTACTCTAAACCATCCCCGTCCCCTAACCCTAACCCTAAACCTAAACCTTACCCGAAGCCTTACCCTAACCCGTCCGCTAATCCTAACCCATACCCTAACACGTACACTCACCCTAAACCGTTGTCATACCCTAACCTGTACCCTAAACCGTCCCCGTCCCCTAACCCTAACCCTAACCCTTACCCGAAGCCTTATCCTAACCCGTCCCCTAATCCTAACCCGTATGCTAACACTAACCCGTACCCTACCACGTACGCTCACCCAAAAACATTGTCGTACCCTAACCTGTACCCTACACCATCCACGTTTCCTAACCCTAACCCTAAACCTAACCCTAACCGTAACCCTTACCCGAAGCCTTAACCTAACCGGTCCTCTAATCCTACCCGTACGCTAACACTAACCCGTACCCTAACACGTACGTTCACCCAAAAC